CCACCGATGGTCGGGCGGTTGGGGCGGGGGATGGGGGGCCGACCGGAGCCGGAGGGTTGGAGGGTACGGGGGGTACGTGGGGGGATAGTAGGTCGGAGAGGGAGGAGGGAGCGAGGCGGAAATGGCCTTGTAGGTGAGGATGAGGATCTTGAATTCGATCTTCTGAGGGATGGGGAGCCAGTGGAGAAGAGGGAGACGAGGGCGAGGGTGGGAGTGAGGGCGAGGGCGAGGGTGGGAGTGAGGGCGAGGTGAGGGCGAGGGTGGGAGTGATGTGGTGCGGGACAGTACAGGAGCTGCAGAGTTCTGAATGATCTGCAGTGTGGAGGGAGGGCCGGAAGGCCGACGAGGAGAGAGTCCCAGAGTTTCAGCCACGTGAGGGGTGAGGTAGTGGCCATGTTCCAGAGGTGATGGAAGGCGGTGCCGGTTGTGGTGCGGATATGAGGGAGAAAGGACGGCTCAGGGTCGAGGGGAACCCCGAGGTTCCTGATGGCTTTGAGAGGTGGAGAGTGCGGAGCTGATGGTGTCAGTGCCTGAGGTGCGGAGGCGCTGACGTGAGCCAATGTGGAGGGCCTCAGTTTTGCGTACGTTGAGCTGAAGAAAGTTGTCTCTCGTCCGAGACTCGATGTCGGACAGACAGCTGTCAGGACATCGGGGGTCGTGGGGTTGAGGGTAGAGGAGGAAAGGTAGAGTTGGGTGATGTCACCACAGGGGGAGCGTATAGAGGGTGAAGAGGAGGGGACCGAGGACAGAGCCCTGAGGGACACCGCACGAGACAGTGCGGGGGGGGGAGGAAAAGCCATTTGTGGAAACAAAGTGAAGATGGTGGGAGAGGTACGACCTAAACCACTCAAGGACAGGGCCTTGAAGGTTGAGGTGGGAGGACAAGCGGTGGAGGAGGATAGAGTGGTCGACCGTATCGAATGCTGCCGATAGGTCGAGGAGGACGAGGAGGCAGAGGGAGCCCTGGTCACAGATGGTCAGGATGGCATTGGTGACCTTGACCAGGGCAGCTTCTGTGCTATGGGCAGCACCGAAACCCGACTGAAGGGGTTCGAATAATGAGTGGGTGGAGAGGAAAGAGCGCAGCTGTGAGGCCACAACTCGTTCCAGGACCTTGGACAGGAAGGGGAGGTTGGGGATGGGCCGGAGATTGATAGCTGTGATGATCAACGGAGGGGTTTTCAAGGTGGGAGTGATGGTGGCAGTTTTTAGGGGAATGGGAACAGAGCCACAGGAGAGGGACAGGTTGACGATGTCTGTGATATGTGGGACAAGGAGGTGGAGCTGAGAGATAAGGAGTGGAGTGGGGATGGGGTCCAGGGAGCAGGTGGTGGGTTTCAGGGATAGGATGAGTTTGGTGACAGAGGGTGGGGAACCGGGTACGAAAGTGTGTAGGGGAGGATGGGTAGGAGTCGGAGTGTGGGAGTCGGAGTGTGGGAGGGAGGGGATGGGTATGAGTCGGAGTGTGGGAGGGAGGGGGTGGGTATGAGTCGGAGTGTGGGAGGGAGGGGGTGGGTGGGAGTCGGAGTGTGGGAGGGTGGGGGTGGGTAGGAGTCGGAGTGTGGGAGGAGGAGGGGGTGGGTGGAAGTTGGAGGGGAAGTGACCGCAGAGCGGATTCCCTTGATTTTGGATTCAAGGAAATCCAGCATCTCCTCACAGTGAAGGTTGGAGGAGATGACCTGCGTGGGTGGTGGGGGGGACGGAGGAGTCGGGATGTGGTAGAGAACAGTAGCCTGGGGTTGTTCTTCGCCTCCAGGATTGTCCTGGAGTAGAAGGACGATTTGGCCGAGGCTGGAGTGGAGTGGTAGATTTTGAGGAGGTTTGTCAGATTTGTCGGTGGACCGTTAGGTCAGATTTGACACAGGTGCGTTCAGCGGCCAACACCAGGCTCTTCAGTGAGCGGAGGTGGGTGGTGAACCAGGGGGAGGAGCGGGAGTAGGAGACAGTACGGGAGGTGATGGGGGCAGAGTGTCGAGTGTGGAGAAGAGTGAGAGCAGAAAAGGGGTCAGTGAGGGTTGAAGGCCAGAGGGAGAGGAGTTCAGAGGACTCCAAGGCAGCGGTTAGGGATTGAGGGGGCGGTAGAAGATGGTGGTGGGTCTGAGACAGAGTGTGGGAGAGTGTGAGAGACAGAGAGTGTGAGAGACAGAGTGTGTGAGAGAGACAGAGTGTGAGAGACAGAGTGTGAGAGAGACAATGTGAGAGAGACAGTGTGAGAGACAGAGAGTGTGAGAGACAGAGAGTGTGAAAGAGACAGAGTGTGAGAGACAGAGAGTGTGAGAGAGACAGAGTGTGAGAGACAGAGAGTGTGAGAGAGACAGAGTGTGAGAGACAGGGTGAGAGATATAGAGACAGAGAGAGTGAGAGAGACAGAGAGAGAGTGTGTGAGAGACAGAGAGAGAGAGTGTGTGAGAGTGTGAGAGAGACAGACAGAGAGACAGAGAGAAACCGACAGACCGCCCTGGACTGGCAGTCGCTGTCTGTTACAGTGAGTGTGTGTGGGTACAGCCGCCTATTCACCCCTCGCACCCTCCGCCCTCCATCGGAGGCAGTGTTTTCAGCCACTGCCCCAAAACTCTGTCACCCTCTCCCTCAATCCCTCCCTCCGCCTTTCCCCCTCTCCCCTCTTTCATGTCCTGCCTGAAAAACTTCCTCTTCAACCGTGATGACGGTCACCTTCCCCTCCCCCCGGCTCGGAGTCAGGCTCTGCCACTGTTAAGCTCTGAGACGCTGTCCTGTGTGGAGCGCGTTGTATAAGTGCAAGTTGTTGTTGTGCCTGTGTGTGTTTGAATGTAGGTCTGTGTGTCTGCCAGAGTGTCTGTGTTTGCTACGGTGAGTGTGTGAGACAGCGTACATGTCTGTGCGTGTGTGTACGTGTCTGTCTGTGAGAGACGGTGTATGTGTGTCCGCGTGTGACAGGCGCACACAACCTTGTGTGGGGGGTGGAGCACGACATGTCTACATGAGCCTTTAGCTCCCGTGTACAGTCCAGGCAGGAAGCAGCTGAGACGTCGGCGGACGAGAACGAGAGCTTGTTTTATATTGTGTGTCCCAGAGCGCTCGACAGACACGAACACTGAGGGCAATTTTGCAACAAAAAACAAATCGCACCAGTTTTGCGCTCTGGACGTAATGTTGGAAATAAAGCTTCTAAACAGCCAGCGGGAGATTGAAAAGACAGTGTCCAGTTAAACTAAACTACTTTAGTTGATTAACTCACCGCCATTTATCAAGCGGATCGAGGAGAAATCATCCCGCGATCAATTGTTGACGAGCACAATATTCACAGCAAATCGTGGGGTTTAAATCAGCGACTGAGAGAGTGAGTGATCAACCGACTAATGACTGAATGTTTGGGCCAAACTCCGCGCAGACCCCCCCTGGACGGTGCAGCACAGTGGCTCTGCTCCGAGGGCTCCCGACAAGCAATAATACTGATAAGAATCCTTGCATTTGATATCAAGCGTCTCAAAGTACTTCACAGAATATACCGTAAAGTGTAGTGACTGTATTTTGTGGGTAAAACACAGCAGTCAATTGCGTACAGCGACGTCCCCACAAACAGTCATGGAGTGAGTCACCAATTCTTTTAAGAGAGATTATTCCCCCCGGAATCGACTAACCAGTGGGTTCCTACCGACTGCTGGTAAACACAGGCGTGTGCGTGTGCGTGGAATAAGGAAACGTGCCCAACGTTCCGCCCCGTCCTGACTGAGCCGGGGATCGAACCCGGTCCCCTCCGAGGGCTCCAACCCCTGAGCTCCAGAGTCTCCACAACTGCAAACTCAACAAACCGCGGCCTTAACCTGAAGGCAGAAACATTCAGGGCTCAGCACGAGATCGAGGCACGTCCCCCCTCCCTCCCCGCTGCTCCCCCTCCCTCCCCGCTGCTCCCCGCTGCTCCCCCTCCCTCCCCTCTGCTCCCCCTCCCTCCCCTCTGCTCCCCCCTCCCTCCCTCCCCTCTGCTCCCCCTCCCTCCCTCCCCTCTGCTTCCCCTCCCTCCCTCTGCTCCCCCCCTCCCGCTCTCCCCCTCCTCCCCGCTACTCCCCTCACTCCCCACTGCTCCCCTCACTCCCCGCTGCTCCCTTCTCACTCCCCGCTGCTCCCCCTCACTCCCAGCTGCTCCCCCCCCACTCCCCGCTGCTCCCCCCCCACTCCCCGCTGCTCCCCGCTCACTCCACGCTACTCCCTGCTCACTCCCCCCTCACTCCCTGTTCACTCCCAGCTGCTCCCCGCTCGCTCCCTGCTCACTCCCCGCTGCTCCCCCCTCACTCCCCGCTGCTCCCCGCTCACTCCACGCTGCTCCCCCCTCACTCCACGCTCACTCCCCGCTGCTCTCCCCTCACTCCCCGCTGCTCCCCTCATTCCCCGCTCGCTCCCTTCCCTCCCAGCTGCTCCCCGCTCACTCCCAGCTGCTCCACGCTCATTCCCCGCTGTTCCCCGCTCACTCCAAGCTGCTCCACGCTCACTCCCCCACTCCCTCCCCGCTGCTCCCCCCTCACTCCCAGCTGTTCCCCGCTCACTCCCAGCTGCTCCTCCCTCACTCCCCGCTGCTCCCCCCTCACTCCCCGGTCATTCATTGCCAATGTCCACTCTATTGTCCACATACTTCTCAGCCACAGACCTCCCAAGTCCTGTTTTGTGTGAGGTTTTAGAGCAGGTGACAGTCTCTGGGCCTCACTCCACATAGGGCTGCGCTCACACCACCACTCACAGGCCGACCGACTGCTCCTTCCGACAAGTAGCTCACAGTCACAAGGCCGTCGCAAGTAACTGTCCCCTCGGCTGCGTGTCCTCCTGACCCTCCGTCTGGTGCCATTACTGTTGAAATGTTCTGCGTTTTCCACCGCACGCAATCCCTCACGTTGTGTGAGCGCGTCTGTCCGGGCAGCGCCCGCGGACGTCCTCCTGACGGGAAATGCACTGCGTAAATGTCACGTTGTTGTCATCGTGGCCACAGATAGGTTGTTGTCTCCCGCCTGTCTTCCCGCCCCGCCCGCTCATCAAAGCTTCCCGGCGGTGTTCAGCCCCTCGGGCACAGTCTGTGTGGCGGACGAGCGGAATCGGGGGTCGGGGGGGTTTGGGGGTGTGGCTGCGGGGTCACCCATGTGAGGGCACCGGCGGGTTGATCCGCGGCAGCACCGAGCGAAGGGCTTGCGGGTGGCTCCGCGCTGAGCAGACTTGGCCTGGGAGTGGGTCTGGTTGTCAGTCCGGTTGTTGGCCTGGGAGTGCCAACGTGTGTTTGTGTGGGTCTGGTTGTGAGCTTGCGAGTGTGTTTTGGAATTGGCCTGGGAGTGTGTGTGTGTCTGGGCGTGTGTCAGGGAGTGTGTGTGTGTCTGGGCGTGTGTCAGGGACTGTGTGTGTGTCTGGGCGTGTGTCAGGGAGTGTGTGTGTGTTTGGGCGTGTGTCAGGGAGTGTGCGTGTGTCTGGGCACTTGCCTGGGAGTGAGTCTGGGTGTGAGCCTGGGAGTGTGCGTGCGAGTGTGTCTGGGTGTGCGTGGGAGCCTGCGAGTGTGAGTGCGTGCGCTGGTGCACGGACAGGTGGCTCGACGAGTTGAAGCGTTTGTCGCAGAGAGAGCAGAGGAACGGCCTTTCCCCAGTGTGGTTGCGGTGATGGATGGTCAGAGCGCCCGAGGTACTGAACCGCTTGGCGCAGAGCGGGCACTGGAAAGGCTTCTCCCCGGTGTGGTTGCGGTAGTGGATGGTCAGACCGCCCGAGGTGCTGAACCGCTTGGTGCAGCGGCTGCAAGAGAAGGGCTTCTCCCCCGTGTGGGTCCTCTGGTGTAGAGTCAGGGCCCCCGAGGTGATGAAGCGCTTGTCGCAGCGACCGCAAGGAAACGGCCTTTCCCCGGAGTGCGATCGCTGGTGCACCAGCAGTTCGCTGGACGAGCTGAAGCGTTTGTGGCAGAGTGGGCAGTGGTACGGTTTCTCCCCCGTGTGCGTGCGCTTGTGTACGCTCAGGTGGCTGGAAGTATTGAAGCGTTTGTCGCACACCGGGCACTGGAAGGGCCTTTCCTCCGTGTGGGTACGGTGGTGCCGGGTCAGGGCTCCCGAGGTGGTGAAGCGCTGAGCGCAGACCGGGCACTCGAATGGCTTCTCGCCCGTGTGAATCCGCTGGTGGACCAGGAGGTTGCTGGATGAGTTGAAGCGCTTGTTGCAGACGGGGCACGGGAAGGGCTGCTCGCCTGTGTGCGTGCGCCTGTGGACAGACAGGTGGCTCGAGGTGTTGAACCGCTTCGGGCACAGGCGGCACTGGAAGGGGCGCTCGCCCGTGTGCCCGCGGTAGTGGATGCGCAGGGCGCCCGACGTGATGAATCGCTTCTGGCAAGTGGGGCAACCGAAGGGCTTCTCGCCCGTGTGGATGCGCCGGTGGATCTCCAACTTGGAGGGGGCATGGAAACGCTTATCGCACACGGAGCAGTGGAAGCGAGCCTCGTCACTGGTCAACCCAGCCACCTCCTGCTCCTTCACCTTCCCTCGACTCCCCACCTCCATCTTCAGTGAGAGAGAGTGCCGCCCACACACACAAACACACACACAGAGTGAGTGAGTGAGTGAGAGAGAGAGAGAGAGAGAGACGGAGACACAGAGAGAGTGATACAGAGAGAGAGAGAGATGCGCAGAGAGAGAGAGTGATACAGAGGGAGAGCGATACACAGAGACGGAGTGATACACAGAGACAGAGAGAGGGTGATACAGAGAGAGAGAAAGAGAGAGAGACACAGAGGCAGAGAGAGAGAGAGTGATAGAGAGAGAAGAGAGAGGCAGAGAGAGAGAGATACAGTGAGAGAGAGACAGAGATAGAATGATAGAGAGAGAGATACAGAGGGAGAGAGAGGTACACAGGCACAATTGAAGAGGAAGGTTTAAAAGTATGAAGGGCTATCCAGGGAGATGGACAGATGGTGGAAGCAGAAAGTGTATTGAGAAGAAACTAGATAAATTTCTGCTGGAAAATAATATCTGGGGAGACAGTGTATGGTTCGAGACACGACATGTCAAGAGACTGCCAGGATGGTGGTGGACGGCAAACCAGATGGACCTCGTTCTTCTTTCAGCAGCAAGTTCTTATCTTCACACTCGTCTCCATCGCCAACACCTAGAGAGAGGCACAAACATCAGGGAGGGTGGGCGTAGGAGGGCGACCGAAGGCGGGGTCGAAAAGGAGGGTCTTGAGACAGGCCTCGAAGGAGGCGAGGGAGGGGGGTGAGCGAGTGGGAAGGTTTGTGGGATGGAGTTCCAGAGAGTGGAACAGGAACAGAAAATGGTTCTACACTCTTCATGGAAACACAACAGACACTTACGCAAAATATACAGAAACACACAGTCACTACACTTCGCAGTGTATCCTGTGAAGCGCTTTGAGAAGTCTCGAAGACATGATAAGGCACTACATTAAATGCCAGGATTATTATTACTATCAGGAAAAGCTTTAGATGGGTAATTGGTGCCATAGGAAAGAGAATAACTGCAAAAATGTCAATATATCTCAACAACTCAGTCTATCAATACATTTCTCAACAGAAAATGTATATTATACATCTATATATATATCAAATTCTGTTTCAGGAACAATAATCATTGCATTTGACACAGTGACTGGAATGCTGATAACCTCAACAGTTTTTTCAGTAAGAACACAAGTCACACTTAACGCAGGGATTCATACTCTTACTGTCTCACACATCATAATAATAATGTGGTCACATCAACCTACGACTGTCTGTGGGGATGTCGTTGGGTGTAATTAACTGCTGTGTTTCGCCCACAAAACACAGTCACCACATTTTACAGTGGACCCTGTGAAGCGCTTTCAGACATCTCGACGCCGTGATCGGCGCTGTGTAAAATCCCAGAATTATTATTATTGCCCAAATGATCATTTGCCAACAATTAGCGCCAGTGTTTGTGATGTACAATGTTTACCCCAAACACACTCCCTGTGACACACACACACACACAGACACAGAGACACACACACTCCCTGTGACACACACACACACACAGACATACACACTCCCTGTGACACACACACACACACACACACACACAGACACACACACTCCCTGTGACACACACACACACACAGACATACACACTCCCTGTGACACACACACACACACAGACACAGAGACACACACACTCCCTGTGACACACACACACACACAGACATACACACTCCCTGTGACACACACACACACACAGACATACACACTCCCTGTGACACACACACACACACACACAGAGACACACACACTCCCTGTGACACACACACACACACAGACATACACACTCCCTGTGACACACACACACACACACATACACAGAGACATACACACTCCCTGTGACACACACACACACACACACACACAGACACACACACACACACACTCCCTGTGCCTCACACACACACAGACAGAGACACACACACACACAGACACACACACTCCCTGTGACACACACACACACACACACTGACACAGGCGGGTGTAGTGACTGTGACTGACACTGACCCGAGGCTGTAGTTGGGCCCTCGGCCTCCCGGCAACAAAGAGCCGCCTGGCGGCCACCTCACTCAGTGCGCCTGCGCGGCCTGACTCCTCCCCTCACTCAGTGCGCCTGCGCGGCCTGACTCCTCCCCTCACTCAGTGTGCCTGCGCGACCTGACTCCTCCCCTCATACAGTGCGCTTGCGCAATCTGACTCCTCCCTCTCACACAGTGCGCTTGCGCGGCCTGACTCCTCCCTCTCACACACTGACATAGAGGGACAGAGTCACATTGTTGATGAGATAAACTGTTATAATGACATACAACAGAGACTGTGGGCCATTGGCTGCCACGTTCCGCTCACAAAACACAGTCACTACACTCAACAACAAAATTACACATCGGGAGAGCTTCCCAAGGACCTGAACTGGGGGTCAGAGTGGGTGAGAGGGCATGAGGGGGAACGAGGGGGAACGAGGGGATCAGAAGGCACCGTCGAAAGGAGGGCCTTGACATGGTCTTCTCAAAGTGCTTCACAGAATATATTGTAAAGTGTAGTGACCGTATAATTTGTGGGCAAAACACGGCAGCCAATTGCGCACAGCAGCGTCTCACAAACAGACGTGGGTTGAAGTGACCACATTATTTTTAAAATTTATTTTGAAGGGATTACCACCACCGGAAACCGATCCACCATCACCTGACAACCAGGTCCTACTTACTGCTGGAGGCGTGAGTGTGAGTGTAGTGAGGAAACTTGCCCAACCTTTTTCCCCTGAACTGACCCGTCCAGGAATCAAACCCGGGTCCTCTCGCTTGCGAGGTGAGCGCTCTCACCCCTGAGCTACAGCGTCTCCAAAACGACACCCCAGTGAGCAACAGTTTGCAGAGATTCTATTTTACCGAATAATTTCAAACTTTTCATTGTTAAATGTTTGTCCAAAATCTGAAGTTTTCACAACCTTTATTGACAGGATATTGGTCCCCAAATAAAAACAGTACAGTCCAATTTTTCTGTGATTTCCAGCATCCGTGATGTAACAAAACCATAATAATAACAATCCTTGCATTTGATATAGCGCCTTATCACGTCTTCTAGACGTCTCAAAGCGTTTCACAGGATACACTGCAAAGTGAATTGACTATTTTGTGGGCGAAACATGGCAGCCAATTGCACACAGCAGCGTCCCCACAAACAGTCGTGGGTTGAGTGACCGCATTATTATTATTATCAGAATAAACAGAATAGATTATATCAATCAGAGAGACAGCCCAACTGTGGGGCAGGAAGTGTCCAATGATTATAAACCTACAGTAATCATGAATTCACCGCCACGATTTTCAGTCACCGTGAAATCTCAGCTATGTTGTGCTCTGATTTCTGATCCCGTTGATTTACGATCACATTGATTGATACACTGAATACCCAAACAACTGTTCTGATCATCGCAACCAACAGGAACCTTATGAATTCCTGCCTCGGCCATCGCACTTGTGTGACTTTCACACACACACTGCGGACACTGATATTTACACAGTGTCCCTCACGCAGGGTAGTGTCCCCACAATACTCGACAGTGGTAGAGCACTGGGGGAAGGGGCTAAGGTGTCGAATAAGAAGGTCTTCAAGCGCGACCTGATGATGGGGAAGGAAGGAGGCAAGGTGGAGGAGCAATTGGGGGGAAGAGTGTGACAAGAGTTTCGGGGTGTAGTGGCTGAAAGCGCGGCCACTGATGGTGGAACAGAGGGCACAGGGACAAGCAGGAGGCCGGAGCTGGTCAAGTGGTGGCAGCGGGTTGCGGAGAGGTAGGGAAGTGCCAGGGCATGAAGGGATATGAAAATGAGTGTGATCAAATCAGCAATAGGGAGCCAGTGGAGCCTGGTGAGGGCTGGTGCGATGGGGCTTCACTAAATTACATATATGTAAATTGTTGTTGCTGTAACCGTGACCTCTCCTGGGGGCAAGCTCCAGTTATTGCCTGGAGGACAGATTCCACACATGGTTCCTGTCGATCAATATCTTTTACATAATCGTGATCAAAGGCAGCTGTGGTTCTCGCACAATATCTCTAACACCTCCACCTGCGATACCCCTTTAATAGGGGCAACAAACTACGTATACAGGTGGAATAAGTATCAAATCAAAACCCAAGACAGGAGAGAGAGATGGAGAGACAGGTTGAAGAGCAGACAAGTTTCTCGTGCAAACCTTTTCACGGAAGAAAATAAAAGTCTGGGGTCTTTCCTGGGCTCCATCGTCAACAGACTCGCTGAAGAGAAGACAGAACATTCTGGTGTTTTAGTCTGACTTGTTGTTCCCAGCTGTCACTCATCCACGTTAACTAGTGATTGATCGCACCATTCAGCTGATCCACTTTCCTCTCTGAACAACTTCTATCGTTTGGTGGCAACACATTTGGTGCGAACAGCCCTTCGCTCCGTGTGAAGATATCTCACCTCTTCCATGATGCGTTAGCTAACACACGCCCAGAGACGTTACCCAACCCCCCAATAAAAGGGAGACAATTCCCTCCCTTGTTCCCCCTCTCTTGTCAAACACCTCGATCACGTGGCCTTTCGAACTCAAATCGGCAGAGAAATCAACAGCATAGCTCCATCATCATACATGCTGGCATCTCTCACACACACATACACACACTGTCACTCCCAGCGAATTCCTCTCCTCCTTCTCTCTCCTGCCAGTGGTGGGGGTTGTCCATTAGGGGGGGGTCACCTCACTGCCTTCCACCTGCTTTTCTTTCCCCGCCTTTGACCGGCCTGTTGCAGCAAGTGGCAATGCCATGCAACACTGAACGGAGCAGTCAACCCACAATTGATTACTGCCCCTGCCCTCTGGAACACCATCCCACAGTCCCTCCACAACTCGTCTCTCAAGATCCTCCTCCTCTTCGACCAACCGTGCCATCGGTCACCGTCCTAACCCCAAACCTCCTCTGCCTTCCCCTTCCTGCCCTCCACCACTCTGATCCTAATGCCCAGCTCACATGCGGAGGATCCGGTCCAGCCCAGCGCCTTGGTGGGGGGTGTCCTCCCGGCGCGAAAGGCGGGCACTGTATAAACATAATTTTGTTGTTGTTGTTTAACTCGCTCACTGCTGTTCACCCCGAGATCAGTAGATAGCGATGAGCGGAACAGACAGGCGAAGGCGAGGACGAGGCGAGGCGTGGGGTCAAAGCTTCTTTCCAAAGTGGACGGCTTGGTGCACGGAGAGCGTGCCGGCGGTTCGGAAGCGTTTGTGACAGAGCGGGCAGCCGTAGGGCCTCTCCCCAGTGTGGGTCAGTCGGTGGTCGGTCAGGTTGCATGAGCGGCTGAAACGCTTCTTGCAGACCTGGCACTCGAAAGGCTTCTCACCCGTGTGGATGCGGTTGTGCACCAGCATGCGGCTGGACGTGCTGAAGCGTTTGCGGCAGACAGCGCACTCGAAGAGCTTCTCATCAGTGTGGTTGCGGTGGTGGATGGTCAGGGCGCCCGAGGTGCTGAACCGCTTGTCGCAGGCCGGGCAGGCGAACGGTCTCTCACCCGTGTGCGTACGTTGGTGCACGGACAGGTAGCTGGAGGTGTTGAAGCGTTTGTTGCAGACGCTGCACTGGAACGGCCTCTCGCCCGTGTGCGTGCGGTGGTGAACGGCCAAGTCGCTCGAGGTGTTGAAGCGTTTCTTGCACACGGCGCACTCGAAGGGTTTCTCTCCCGTGTGCGTCTTCTGGTGGCGCAGCAAGTGGCTGGAGATGCTGAAACGCTTCTCGCACACCGGGCACTCGAACGGTCTCTCCCCCGTGTGGGTGCGCTGGTGGATCTCCAGCTTGGAGGGCACGCTGAAGCCCTTGTCGCACACCGAGCAGCGATAGCGCAGCGCCTCGCTCAGCACACTCACGCAGCCCCCTCCCTCACCGCCTCCTACCCGGCGCCTGCCAACAAACAGCTCGGACACCAGCCCATGCTCCTTCACCACCTCCGCCTGCTCCGACGCCATGGCTCCAGCTTCGATAACGAGAAGACAATAATAAACAAGACAATAATAAATAATAATGATAATATTACTCGCATTCGATTCAGCGCCTCATTACGTTGTCAAGACGTCTCAACAACAACAACTTGCACATAGGAACCCCCCACATAGGAAAGCACCTTAATGGCACTTCCTTCACAGGATGCACTGTAAAGTGTAGTGACTGTGTGTTTTGTGAGCGGAACACAGGGCAAAGCTTTCCCATTGCTTGTCCAGCTACGACCACCCACCCCTCCTACCCCCCCCTCACACCCCCCTCCCCCCCCCCCTCCCCCCCTCACACCCCCCCACCTCACACCCCACCTCCCCCCCTCACACCCCCCCACACCCCACCTCCCCCCCCAACACCCCCACCTCCCCCCCCACACCCCCACCCGCCCCTCACACCCCACACCCCCACCCCTCACACCCCACACCCCACCTCCCCCCCTCACACCCCCACCTCCCCCCCTCACACCCCCACCCTGGCGCCACCCCGTCAGTTAGGGCTTTAACAGCAGCTCAAGTTCTTACCTGAGCCCGTGGCTCGAGTGCCGGCCGCTGTATGTAGGCCTCAGGCCACGGTCGGGCCCCACCGGGGGAGCGCAGGGTCTCTCTCCCTGAGCTCCAGGAGCGGCAACGCGTCACCAGAGAAAGAGCCTTTCAGCAGCCGAGCCCGGGCCTTGCTCTGCCCCTCACTGCGCCTGCGCCGCACCCTCACCCGCACTGAGCTCCACTGCGCCTGCGCCGCTCCCTCCCCCACTGAGCTCCACTGCGCCTGCGCCGCTCCCTCACCCGCAGTGAGCACCACTGCGCCTGCGCCGCTCCCTCACCCGCAGTGAGCACCACTGCGCCTGCGCAGTCCCACCCACTCCAACGCACGGTGATGGGGCTCTTCTCTCACCGCACAGCACCATGGGACGGATCCACCATCGCGGAGCTCACACTTTCAGGCTACTGCGCCCCGAAACTCAGTTACGTTCTCCCTCAATCCGTCCCTCCGCCTTTGCCCCACACACACTCCCTCCCTTCTTCCAATTCCTGCCTGAAAATCTTCCTCTTCGACCATGCTTACGGTTATCTCCCACTCCTCCTCCCCCCCCAGCCCCAGCTCAGAGTCAGGCTCCGCCACTGTTAAACGCTCTGATACGCTGCCCTGCATGGAGGGAGGGAGCTGTGTAAGTAAGTGCAAGTTGTTGTTGTTGAGTAACCCGCTGTACGAAGCGACATCTTACAACTAAGGACACAACCATTTTGATCTTATTTTGCATCAAAGACACTTCACTGTGACACCCAAATTCATGAGGATTTGCCAGGTCAGGGTATCAAGGGATACAGATCAGCCACGAATGGGTGGAGCAGGCTTGAGGGGCTGAATGGCCTCCTCCTGTTCCTATGTTTCTAAAACCAACCACCCTTCCATTTTATCTCGGTCAATGGTTTCTCCTCTCACCCACCCTGCTGGTCACCTGCGGTACACCCTAAGGCTCCATCCTTGACCCCCTTCTTTTCCTCATCCATATGCTCCCTCTTATCAGTGGCATCCGCAGACATGGGGGTCAACTTCCACGTGTCTGCGGACAACACCCAAATCTACTGTTCCTCGAGTTGCAAGCCCAGATCTGCTGATGTCTTGTCAGCTTGTGGGACGGACATCAAGGCCTGGATAAGCGAAAATTTCCTGCTTGGGCAAGATGGAAGCCATACTCTTTGGCTCACATCAACGTCTTCTCTTCTGCAGGTCTGAACTCCTCAACCTCCCCCGGCCTCTCCCTCAGACTCTCCGAATCATACGCAACTTAGGCCTCAGGTTCGATCCCCAGCTTTGCTTTCTACCCCACTGACCAGCTACTGCTTTTTTTCAACTCTGTCACATCGCCCACCTCCGTCCATACCTCACACCCACAGCAGCTGAAACCTGCGTCCACGACTTGTCACCTCCAGGCTGGACTATTCGAATGCTCTTCTCGCTGGTCTCCCCGACTCCACCGTACATAAAATCCAATTAATTCAAAATTCCACAGCCAGGATACTCAACTGCATGAAACTTCGTACCCCCATCACCCAAGCCCTCACCAGGCTCCACTGGCTCCAAATTACCGAACGGATCGATTTCAAGACTGGTGCAGATACATTTAAGTGGATTTGATAGAAAATTCAATGGGACTTTGGCAGATGTACGACCTGAGCGATCATAGGATCGATACAGATCGAACTTCTGCGGGTTTTACTGTATTGTAATTTGGTGTATAATCTGGTGTTTAATTGACGTAAAGCATAAGTCCAGAAGCTTTGATAATGATTCTTTTTCGGGTGTAAAAGAATGTGAAGTGCTTTCCATGTGGCTCTTTCAGAAGTCTCGAAGATGTGAGAAGGCGCTGTATTGAATGCAATGATTATTATCATTATTATTGTGGAGTCCTGTAGCTCAGTGGTTAGAGCACTCGCTTTGCAAGCGAGAGACCTGAGTTCAATTCCAGGCAGAGGGCGAAACCTCGGGCAAGTTTCCTTACTCCACACAGAGCCTAATAATAATCCCTCCAAAACCAAAAACAATAATAAATTGGTCATTTTCAATCCACGACTGTTTGTGGGACATTGCTGTGTGCAATTGGCTGCCACGTTCGCCCACAAATATACAGTCAATTCACTTTACAATCACTTTGAGACATCGAGAAGACGTGAAAAGCGCAATATCAAATGCAAGGACTTATATTATCATGTAACTGACTTGCTGAGCAGTGGTTTCTGTGAAAGAATAAAAAGATTGAGAAAATCGTGGGGTTTTTACAGCCTGTTTCACACGAGAAGTGAATAAAGCAAACCAGATTTTGTGATGTATCAAAAGATCAAATAGCAGCTGAAATAGTGGTGGAACCTTGCCACTGTATAAATCATTGAGACCACACTTAGAGACTATGTACAGTTCTGGTCACCGCAGAACAAACAACAAGATTACATTTGCAAAGCGCCTTTCACGTCAGGAGGACATCCCAAGGTGTTGGACAGTGACAGCATTTCAGACCCGAGCTGGTGTTGGGGGAGAAGTGAGGGGAGGGGAAGGGAAGAGAGGAGGCTTGAGGTGGGACTTGAAGGAGGATAAGGAGGGGTGAGGCGGAGTGACTGGGGAATGGAATTCCAGAGGTTGGGGACAGAGTGGCTGAAGGCTCTCCCGCCAATGGTGGGGCGAGTGGGTCGGGGAACGTGGAGAACGCCGGAGCTGGCTGAATGGAGGGAACGGGCAGGTTGGCAGGGGGTTAGGAGGTGGCAGAGGTAGGGTGGGGCGAGGCCATGGAGGGCTTCGTAGATGAGGACCAGGCTTTTGAACTGGATCCTCTGAAGGATAGGGAGCCAGTGGAGTCGAGCGAGAGTGGGGAGATGGGGTCACGGAGTTTGGTGCGGGAGAGGACATGGGCTGCAGAGTTCTGGATTATCTGCAGCTGTGGAGGGAGGGGTTGGAAAGGCCGACACGCAGGGGGTTTGCATAGTCGAGCCTGGAGGTGATGAAGGCATGAACAAGAGTTTCAGTGGCCTGAGGGGTGAGGTAGTGGCGGAGTCGGGTGATGTTACGGAGGTGAGGGGAGACAGAGTGGGTCATGGCTTGAATGTGGGGGAGAAAAGACAGTTGAGGGTCGAACAAGACACCGAGGTTCCTGACTGGCGGTGAGTTGGTGAGTTGTCGGGTGCCGCCATGGAGGTTGACGTTGCCAGAGCCTCAGGTGCTGAGGCGCTGCCATGAGCCAATCAGGAGGGCCTCAGTCTTGTTCACATTCATCCAGGTCTTGATGTCCGACAGACAGTCGGTCAGGACAGCAGTGGTCCTGGAGTTGAGGGTGAGGCAGAAAGAGAGAGTTGGGTGTCATCTGCATACATGTGGAAGTTGACCCCATGTCTGCGGATGATGTCAAGAGGGAGCATGTAGATATTAAAGAGGGCCAAGGACAGAGCTCTGGGGGACGCCAGATGTGACAGTGCGGGGGCTGGAGGAGAAACTGTTAGAGGCAACAAACTGGAGACGGTGAGAGAAATAGGAATCAAACCAGGCAAGGGCAGGTCCGTGAAGATTGAGTAAGGAGGAGTCGGTGTGTGAGGATGGAGTGGTCGACAGTATGGCTATGGGAGAAATCGAGAAGATTCAGAGGAGGGCAACCAGAATGATCGAGGGAATGGAAGGGGTCTGGACTATGAGGAGTGACTCAGTAATTGGGGCATGTTCACGCTGGAAAGGAGAAGACTGAGAGACAACATGATTTGCTGTCTCTATGATTCTGAAGGGGGCAAAACAATATAGATCACGACAGGCGGTTTCAACTTGTCCAGAACAGTAAAACCAGAGGATACACAGCTTACGGTTGACGGGTAAACCCAGAACAAATCTACACAAACACTATTTCAGTAAACGAACAGTGAACCTGTGGAACTGATCAGTGGATTCTCTAGAAACTCTTGTCACTCTCTCCCTCAATCCCTCCGCTTCCCTCCTCCTCCCTCCCTCCCTCCCTCCCCACTTTCAATTCTCTGCCTAAGGACCTTCCTTTTTTGATCGTGCTTATGCCCCCCCCCCCCCACAGAGTCAGAAATAACAATAACTTACTTGTCTTTATCATTTAAGACATACGGATTAAGCAGCACAGTGTCTCGGTTTGACTTTACCGAACAGAATCCGAATCAATGGATTGACTTTATTACTAAGAGCAGAGTAATGATAGAGGGTACAGAGATACAACCATTTGTATTATTACGAGTTAAATATGACGGTATCTGTGGGAACAAGTATCGGTTCACTCACAATACACTACAGAATGGCATTTACACAGCGCCTGACTTTCACGTTGCAAGTACGTCCCAAGGCTCTGGGCTGGAGTCAGGGATTTGGACCCGAGCTGAGGGTTGGGATCAGGAGGGAGTGGAGGCCGGGGAGGGTGTGGGGTAGGAAGGTGTGGTTAGGTGGGGATCTGAAGGCTTGGTCGAAGAGGAGGGTCTTGAGATGGGCCTTGAAGGAAGTGAGGGCTGGGGTGAGTGAGATGGAGGGACTGCGGGATGGAGTTCCAGAGGGTGGGGGTAGAGACGCTGAAGGCCCGTCCGCCAATGATGGGTCGGGGGAGGCAGGGGGATGTGACGCAGATCGGAGCCCGCTGAGCGGAGGGAGCGGGCAGGTTGGTTGGGGTTAGCGGGTCACAGGTAGGGAGGAGCGAGGCTGTGGACGCATATCCAAACAACAGTTAACGTTAGTCACACCTGTCCCAGTATCTGAGAACAGTACAAAGGGGGCAAAGTTACGGTGTTTCTTCACCCATTCCTTGTGTTAATTAACACCATATTGTAGTAAGAAATAATTGGCATTGTCCATCACTTTCACTGGAGCCCTCCTGATAGTTTCAGGCACTCAATTTCATTAAAAGTTGCAGCAACTATAATGTTATATAAATACATGCGTCACAGTGTGTGTTAAATGTTGTGGCCTGCGATTTGCTCACATCCTTAATCAGTGGAGTCCCCTGTAGCTCAGTGGTTAGATTGTCCGCCTCACAAGCGAGAGGACCTGGGTTTGATTTCGGGGCGGGTCAGGTCAGGGCAAAACACACTCGCAGGTTCCGTCCCATGGTGCTGTGCGGTGAGAGAAGAGCCCCATCACCGTGCGTTGGAGTGGGTGGGACTGCGCAGGCGCAGTGGTGCTCATGCGGGTGAGGGAGCGCGCAGGCGCAGTGGTGCTCACTGCGGGTGAGGGAGCGGCGCAGGCGCAGTGGAGCTCAGTGGGGAGGGAGCGGCGCAGGCGCAGTGGAGCTCAGTGCGGGTGAGGGTGCGGCGCAGGCGCAGTGAGGGGCAGAGCAAGGCCCGGGCTCGGCTGCTGAAAGGCTCTTTCTCTGGTGACGCGTTGCCGCTCCTGAGCTCAGGGAGAGAGACCCTGCGCTCCCCCGGTGGGGCCCGACCGTGGCCTGAGGCCTACATACAGCGGCCGGCACTCGAGCCACGGGCTCAGGTAAGAACTTGAGCTGCTGTTAAAGCCCTAACTGACGGGGTGGCGCCAGGGTGGGTGTGAGGGGGGAGGTGGGGGTGAGGGGGGGAGGTGGGGTGTGGGGTGTGAGGGGTGGGGGTGTGGGTGTGAGGGCGGGTGGGGGTGTGGGGGGGAGGTGGGGTGTTGGGGGGGGGGGGTGTGGGGGGTGTGAGGGGGGAGGTGGGGTTGAGGTGGGGGGGTGTGAGGGGGGGAGGGGGGTGGAGGGGGGTGGTGAGGGGGGTAGGAGGGGTGGGTGGTCGTAGCTGGACAAGCAATGGGAAAGCTTTGCCCTGTGTTCCGCTCACAAAACACACAGTCACTACACTTTACAGTGCATCCTGTGAAGGAAGTGCCATTAAGGTGCTTTCCTATGTGGGGGTTCCTATGTGCAAGTTGTTGTTGTTGAGACGTCTTGACAACGTAATGAGGCGCTGAATCAATGCGAGTAATATTATCATTATTATTTATTATTGTCTTGTTTATTATTGTCTTCTGTTATCGAAGCTGGAGCCATGGCGTCGGAGCAGGCGGAGGTGGT